CTAGCGAACAAGTGAAATAATGTAGCAATCTTATTTTATAATTTACAAAAAAAAAATCAACTTAAAATAATCCTAATGTCAACGTAATTAAATTTAATACTAAATAATCAACTATAAAACTAATATTTTCATATAAATATTATAAAATTATAAAAAATATATATTTCAATAAATTCAACTGATATAAAGGACTATTGATCATAGGTCTTTCTGTCCTATTTTTTCTATAAAAGAATATAAACGCATTTACAATGTATATACTCAAAATGCTACTAATTTTACGTTTTAAAATATGAAGAGTAAAATAAGTATTCAGGAAATTGAAAAGGATGAGTTATATTCATAGTTGTAGCATGATCAGTCGCATTATAAGAAAATCTATTGGCTTGAGACACTTAGGATTAGGTCTTAATGGAGCATGGTTCATCTATACAAAGTGAACGCAAATTGACATTAGACCACCTGTTATGGAGCTGAGAGGAATGGGAAGTAAACAATGCGTAACTGAAACTGCATGACTGTGAAGATATTGTTTTTCAAAATTGTGTTAGTTCGACATAGGCTAAGTGTGTCACGAGAGACGAAAATCTCCAAGAAGAAAAATCTTGTTAAAGTTTTCAACTTTACTAATACATAGGCTAGCGAAATTGTATCCGTACGACTCATGGATTCGACCCATAGAATTTTATGTTATAGTATAATATCTTCTGTTAATTCAGTATAGCTTTAGTTATGAAGGAGAAGAAAATATATATGTTATGAAAGTGAAAATATGACGTTTATTTTATCTTTTATAATTATGATAAGAGTAGAGGTTCAATAAAGAAGAATGTATAGTTATATAATAGTATTTACTTAATTTAATATACAGTATATTTGGTTGCCTAGCTTTATTTCTGAAGTTTTTAAATAAATTTAGGTAACAGTTTCTTATGAACGTTTTAGTTATAAATTAATTAGACTGTTATGAATAAATGTTTAAAGGCTGTTAAATAGAAGAGGATATATTTAGAATTAAAAATAAACAAAGTTTATTACACAATAAGATACAAAAGGTTATTTTTTGTTCTCTTGATGGTCCTCTGCTACTTAGCAGTCATATCAGTCATATCAACTCCTGATACAAATTGTATGTTAAAGCGAATAGTTAACAGAATATTACTTTTGATTCAAATATACATAGTACACCGGACAGCAGTTTTAGTTTAGTCATGATATGGGCGCATATCTGACACTATAAAAAAAGTTTTATAATCGCATACATTTGAAAAAATTCCGAATGATTTCGATTGCTTCCGATTTCATACAAAATATCTTCTTTTCTCTTAACGTTATAAAGAGAATCGTACCAACTGTCCTCGAAATACCGTATTCACTTTGGTCCTTCTGAATCAGACAGTTTGTCTTAATTGTTTCATATAATATGAATAGTTGAACCACAAGGGGATTCAATTGTGTTAATTTTGTGATCACTGCTAAAAGATAATAAAAATAGTCAGAAAAATGATGAATATTCTATCTAACGAACAAGAATTAGCATTGTTTTTTTATATATATTTTTGTAATTTTGTTACCTCATATGTTAAATGCAATTATTCTGAAAATTTGCAAATGGATCTATTTTTATGTCATTTCATTATTTTGTATTTTTTTTATTTATTTTCACTAAAATAATTAAACTATCTAATTCAAATACAAATGCATTAATAAAGTTTGCATATTGATCATTAATATTCATATTTTACTATAAGAATATCTGAAATATTTTTTGATAATGAAATTAAGTTCTTTGTTATCTGTTTAAATTTAAAAAAATCTAAGGTATTGAGATTTTGATTGGTTTTCTGTAATAATACAAACTATGAATGAAGAATAATCATATTGGATTCATTAAAATCTGATACATGTTACATCATATTATCGTTTTTTATTATTGTCTTGGTATATTGTTACATAATGTTTGTTAATCTAACAATACGGTCATCAAGAATATCAAGCGCGAAAGAGGACGTAAATAGAAAGGGTGTAGAGTGTAAGTTTGTATGTAGTAATGTGTAACTGAAAATAAATTAAAAAAACAACAAGTTTCACGTATAAAATGTAATAATTTATTGATATTTCAATGAGTTCATTAACTTGCAATGAACGTACAAAGCAAATAAATCAAATACAACCATAAAAAAGCAATTAAACTGAGATATGAAATACAGTTGGAAGAGCAGGTCGGCTCGCATAATCCCAAAAAAAAAAATATAACAATAACTAGAAACAAAAAAGGTTCAGTAATTCAGTTCAGCTGAATCGCAGAATCTTTTCCCGTTCCCAAAACAAACGACAACATGCTCAGGCAACTAAATATAAAATAAAATAGTAGTGGTTGTATGTATGTATAGTAGTGGTAATAGTATGTAGTCTAGGAGACTCAGTCATTAAACCTTCATCACCCTCCTGTTGTACATGAATGGGGTGGGCGATTTGGCGAGCTCAGCAACAGCCAAGGGTTGAGCTTCTTCCAACGAGTCCATCACTGGAGCCTCCAGATCTTGAGCAACTTCTGGTACAACGACGGTTTCTTCTTCGGCGTCGCTGGCTGGCTGTTCTTGCTCCTGCTCCTCTTCGGCGCTGCTGGCGGCCGGAACTTCGGCGACAGAGAGATCATCTCCGAAATTGGTGTTCAAGTTGTAATATCTCGGGGAATCGGCGCAATCGATGGACTCATCGGATCTGGTGCAAGTGAAGATTTCCTACAAGAAGAATTCACAAAATACAGTTAGAGCATTATTTACAATACGTGTAAATACACTTGGTTGTGTCTTCAGGGACTTTGATTAATTTAGATGGCCGGGGTTCATAGAGTCCAGACGAGAAAATCAAGTATGCACGGAACGAAAGCGATTTGAATAATTCATGGCAGGATGAGAATCCAAGTGCAGGAAAGAAGCGTAAAAAGAATGAACGATGGAAATGAAATAATGGTGAAAAATCCGCAGCCTCCAAAAGCAAATAAATTATTGTAATGCATTGTCGTAAATCCTCAGCGCCGACAATTGAAATCCTGCTAGTGCGTTTATTCCAAGACTTAAGATATCGTGCATGATTTCTTAATTTTTCAGCATAATTTTATACGTTACTTCACTTCTTTTTTTTTTTTCATACAGTAAATGCGTTATTAATTTTAATTTTAATTATTTGTGCAGAAAGACAAATTATGAGATGTTACATCAAAATAATCAATTGATCAACAATTGGTTAGTTTAACCAATAATTAATGAATGAATAGATGATGTTAATATTACCTGATTGAAGACGGTTTCTTCTGGGCAGATGAAACTCCACCTGAAGGTTTGGCTTCTGCCGTTGGAGTAGGTGACCGGAAGGCAGACGTGGAAAAGCTGGCACTCGTTCTCAACATCGGCGTAGTATCCGTACTCGCGACCTTCGCAGCTGAAGGAATCATCGATGTCGGCCCTGATGCTGGTGGCGTTGCTGGGAAGGGTCAACAGGGGCGCCGGCATTTGCTTGGTCATAACCTGTGCAGAGAAGAATTAGCTTAGTTTAATGGCATTCCGGCAATTTCAATTAGCAGTAAAACGCGCAGAGAATTGAATACGCTCTCGTACTTACCCTCAGTTTGGGGGCGGCCTGGACGGCGCAGAAGAAGACGGCGGCGAGGACGACGAACTTGAACATTTTCGTTTCGAGTATTTTTGTTATGTGGTATAAAATCCGAACTGATTTTAGGCACTGGTGGGTTCAGGCTTAGACACTTGAAGGTATGTCTGAATGTACTAAATTTTAGTGAGCGTATGTGACTCGTACCGAGCCACCAAGTATATATAGCTCCTAGTGATGACCACCAAAGAAGGACGACAATGGGGCGTTGGATAGAGACAGACTAATTCCTTACGGAAACTTGGAAGTCATTGATAATCTACAGGAATACTATAAATAGTGTAACGTAAACTAAACGAATCGCATACAAACGACCAAATAGATTTTTTTTTTACTATGAATTATAGAATTTAATATAACATCATTCTTTATACAATCCAATATCTAAATACCTAGTTAAATTCATTAATTACTAATCAACTAAACTTATCTTAATTAATTAATTTTATCATAATTGCAAAACTTAATTAAATTTTGATCATTTGATTTCCTGTAGTATTAAAAAATTCAATAACAGTTTAATTTACTTGACGACGGAAACATTCCATATAAGGTCAAACAGTTGCATTTCCGAATATGTTAATCCAAAATAAGGAAAATAATTACAATTCTTCAAGTGTCAATGTATGTTT